ACAGATTCTAATTCACACATTTACCATTCTTTTTTAATTCCCATAATTCTTATAGAATCCAAAATTTATATTATACTTATATTAATTTATATTTTATATAAATCTTTTTCAATCTTTTAATCGTAAATACCTTTTCTTGTTTACTGATTACAAGATTAAAATTACAAGTTAAAGTTGTTTGTATATTGCACAATTATAAAAATTTATGATAAATTTTTTCCCTAACATCTTTTCTTCTATAAAATTCTATATTTTCTATATAAATCCATAATCAATTTAACTGAGAAATCTTATTGACATTTTTTGCTCAACATCTGTACGCTCTAATGCTTTACAAAATTCTTCAAATGATATCATACCGTCACCGTTTTCATCAGCCTCGACTATGGTCCGCTCCGCAATACTGATTAGCTGTTCTTCACTGAAATAAATATATTTATTGAATTGCCAAATTTAAATATTTGTTCGATTATAGAAATACATGTATAGAATATTCACAGAATTATTGATGCGTTGACAATTATAAAAAAATTTTAATTTTTACCTAATATTTGCACCAACCATCATATGTAAAATAGCGAGTAGTTCATCTTTTGATATCAGATCGTCATTATCCAAATCATACATTTTAAATGCAACTAAAAAAAAAATATTTAATAAATCTTTAATGAGCATCTAGATTATAAGACATCATTATCATTTTATATTCGGCAATATTTACATTTTAATTTTTGCTGCCTAGAATTCAATCGATTGGGACTGTTCTTTTTGATAGGCCTAAAATGAGCCAGGACTTGCATAAACTGTAGGAAATTCACTCTGTCGTTCCCACTTTCTTCAAAGAAAGCATTTACTATCCTTTCACCAAGAGGATTTATTGCCAATTCTGGGATTCTGAGAAAATCTTCTCGACTAAGTGTTCCACAATCTCCGCGATCCAGACTTGTAAAGCGGCTGTACAAACGTTCGATTTGATTTGGTGTAACTGTAATAGAGAGTGCCAGCATTAATATCACACTAATATTTGTCTTATTAAAAATTATTTAAATAAATTTCGCAACTACCGAAATAAATTAATTAATTCGTATGAAATGAAAAGACAAACGGATACTTGCAACCAGTAGCATTTTGTATCTGCGCTATTTCATCCTCACGTAAAAGAAGACTTGACCTGTTACCCATTTTTGGTGACAACTGAAATTCAAGTTCAAATTTATCAGAGGAAATATCAAATAGATACTTAACAGAATAATTTATACATAACAAATAAAAAAATGCAGGCGTGGCAAACTGAAACACGCATCAATCATATGACTGCCAACATGATCATGATTGCCAATTAATGCTGGCTAAATATCGATAGTTTTTACTATCAAAAATTATTGATAGCTTTAAGAATATCGATAGTTTGAAAACGATAGTTTTACCTGACTCTATTTTAATCAATTTTGATTAATTTTAATCGACGATTAATTCTATCAGCAGTATCCATCGACATATAGAATGGACCACTGATGACAGTGGTGGAAGTAGAAACCAAGTAGAATGAGGGCGCGTTCACACCTTGACGGAAAAGCAAAAAGCGGAAAACAGCAGCCAATCAGAACTCGTGCTAATAGTCGATAATTTCGGCTTTTTGTACTACTTAGGGTTCGTTCGGGGAGACGTTATTCGAGGAGAACGCTATTTAGCGCTACAAACTGTTCGTGGAGCTGCAGATAGCGCTAATAAACATGACGTCACTAATGATAGCATATTACATCACAACCGCACTATTAACGCTATTTCTTCTGAGGTAGTGTATTGATAGTGTTAGCGTTTACAGATCCGTAAATGGCTCTAGCGTAGCATTGATAGCGTTTAATATTCGTCAAAGTTAGATTAATGTTTAAGGGGATTCTGTTCTTGAGTGCCAAACTTTTCTCTTTTAGAATTTCGTAGAGTAAGCGTACATACGTAATGTATGAATTTCAAATTTTATTATAATGAATGCAATCTCAATTTTAATCTCTTGATTGCTTGCCACTAGGCTGGAGTGAACGTAATTCTTGCTTGTGTATCATCTTTAACTTTTTAAAGTTTCTGCGAAGTGCAACTTGTGTAATTTAATTATAAATGAAAGTCAGAGGCATCTTGTTACTGGCAATTTTTAATTCCCGTGTACGGAAAAAAGTTACTATTGCGGTATAGCGCGGCAGGATATTCCACTGCAGATGCTTAAGATCCTTATTAGATGTAATAATGCTTCTTCTTCTGAAATCGAATGGATGCTCAAGGATTCTTCCTTTTATCTGATTAATTTACTTAATGTAACTATTAATTTTTTGATCTAGTTTCTACATTGTTCACTTCGGCAAGCTATTATAGAGATTACAATTGAGATTGCGTTCTGTTATTCACTACGAGAAAATAAAAAATTACGTTACAAATACTTTACAAAACTTTAAAAATTTTAATTATAGGGAAAAGTTAGGTGATTGAAAATAGAATCTCCTACATTAACTTAACCTCGACGAATATATCTCTCTGGTTAAATGTTACCAACGTTAGAATCGTTCATAGAGCTTGCTAACGCTATCGCGCTATTGGTTCCAAGAACAGTATTGATAACGTTTGCGTCCATAGCGCGAATAATGTCTTCCCGAACGCACTCTTAGTACTAGCGCGATATTACGTCCCGAAGATGCTGAACTAGGAGGGATAGCACTGACAAGCGATGTATCCCGCCAATTTCAAATTATAATTACAATTGTTATATTCAGTTAGAAACGACGAAAATGAGACTGTAGGCCAAGCGGAAACTTACGGAGCCTCTTCTCGATAATAATTGAAACTTAGATAATTTATAGCATTTTCTCTTAAAATTTAGAGGAAAGTATTACATGCATTGTTTATTTGATGAAATGTTGTGTGAGAAATCTCGAGAGATTAATCTAATTTTTGTGAAAAAGTGATAAAGTGAAAAAGTGAACAAAAGTAACATAGAAAAGAGCAAGAAACATTTCTTTTTATTTATTGTATTTTAAGCTTATTTTTTGGACATATATGTATATAATTTCTTTTATATCAGCTTTCTCATAATATTTTCATAGATATATATTAGGTGTACAACTTCCGCCGTTTTCCTATAGATGGCTTTAGCGGTAAGTAGTGGTCGAAATAAATAGATCATAGACGTCATATAATAAACTTGGGCATCTGTCAACATAACCCCATAGAAACATTAGTCGATTTGTGTCTGCATCATAAAATTATTCTCGATTGAAAATGTCAGTTTACGAGCCAAATTCTTGTCATTTGCGAGAGGTTTTAATTTTTTGCTTCAATATGAAGAAATCTGCGGCTGAGGCTCATCGAATGCTCTCAAATACTTATGCTGAGGCCGCTATTAGTGAAAGAACGTATCGTGAGTGGTTTCAACGCTTCAAGAACGGTGATTTTGACGTCGAAAACCGGCATAGCTGTGGAAGAGAGAAGGTTTTCGAAGATGCAGAATTGGAGGCATTACTTGAGCAAGACTCGTGTCAAAATCAAGAAGAATTGGCACGATCATTGGGAGTGACTCAACAAGCCATTTCAAAACGCCTCAAAGCCATGGGAATGATTCAGCATCAAGGAAATTGGGTGCCGTACGAATTGAAGCCGAGAGATGTTGAACGGCGTTTGTTTGCTTGTGAACAGCTGCTTGAAAGGCAAAGATGGAAGGGATTTCTGCATCGCATTGTGACTGGGGACGAAAAATGGGTTCATTACGATAATCCCAAGCGCAGAAAATCATGGGGAGTTCCCGGCCATGCTTCCACGTCGACGACCAAATCGAATATTCACGGCTCCAAGGTCATGCTCTGTATTTGGTGGGACCAGCTCGGCGTAGTGTATTATGAACTGTTAAAACCGACTGAAACAATCACAGGCGATCGGTATCGAACGCAATTGAGCCGAGCATTGAAAAACAAACGGCCGCAATACAACGAGAGACACGATAAAGTGATTTTGCAGCATGACAATGCTCGACCCCATTTTGCGAAAGTAGTCAAGACATACTTGGAAACGTTGAAATGGGAAGTCCTACCCCACCCGCCGTATTCTCCAGACGTTGCTCCCTCTGACTATCACTTGTTTCGATCAATGGCACACGGCCTGGCTGACCAGCACTTCCGGTCTTATGAAGAAGTAAAAAATTGGATCGATTTGTGGATAGCCTCAAAAGATGACCAGTTTTTTCGACGCGGATTCGTACGCTACCCGAAAGATGGGAGAAAGTAGTGGCCAGCGATGGATAATACTTTGAATCATAAATGTATAACCAGTTTTTTACAATAAAACCTCGAATTTCGTTTATATTTCTTTTTTTTTTCGTTTATATTTCACAATTTTTAATTCAATAATATAAAACTCAATAATATAAAAATAATATAAAACTTGAGATTGCAATCTAAAAATAACAATATAAAATGTTATATGTTATAAAATATAAAAAATATAACATGTATATGTTATAACAATATAAAATGTATATGTTAAAAGAAATTGAAATAGTATAATATTATAATAATAAAATATTTATTTCGATTTTTGACATATGCGCATAATAATATACGTAATTTGTACTGTGTAATTTGTATTCATACTTCAAATAAGTAAAATTAAATAAACAAATATTTTGTTTAAAAACATTTTTATATACTTTCAAAATTAAATTAACTTTCTTAGAAACAGTTTAAACAGTTATAACAATTAATAACAATTTATAACTTTCAGAACTTGTTGTATTTTCAATTAAACTTCTAATTCTATTAGGTTGTACATCTAATTGTACGAGTTTTAATTTTTCTTTGGTTATTTCTAATTCTGTTTCTAAGATTTCTTTTGGCGTATTATTCGTTTCTTTTTTCATATGTATTTTAAAATTGTTTTTTATAATTGTACTAATTCTTCTTTTGCATTTGCTAATTTAACAATATCGTTTTTTTTCGGATTTCGAGAAATTTCCCATTTTCAGTTCCTTGCTGACTCTTTTCTTCAAAACATCTTTTGCTTGTGAGTGCTTTTCTGATGAAGTAGAGGTTGTTTCTGAAGGTAATTGCTTCTTTGTTATAGACGAAATATAATTTTCCTCATCTTTTGAAGCGAGTTCTGTCTATGAATTTAA